ATTGTCTTTTCGATAATCATTTTCAAGAAATAATAACTCATTTTTTTCCTTAATAAAAGTTACAATAAAAAATAAAATTTTATTATATGTATATATTATATTGAATTAGTGCAAAAGTTCGTGCCCGATTTATTATTTAAATTTCAAACAGCTGCTATTTTTGTTAAAAATAAAATAAAATTTAAATCTTACTCTATCTAAATGAGAGAATTTAAAAATATTTTTTTGTAATTAATTTTTTTGTAATAATGTGATAGTTTTATGAGCAATCAAAGTCAAAATATTCATTTTATTTAATTTGCAACAATTCGGTAACAAAAAATCATAGGAACATTTTTAAAAAGCGATTTTGTAAGGAAAACTTCAAGCTTTTACGATAGAGTCGAAAATTTTCTCAAATTTTTTTTTGGTCATGCTACAGATCTACAAAGTGAAGAAAATTTTTCATTTTTTTCAGCTCGTAGTTTTCTATATGTAAAAATTATAAAACTTATATAAACTCAAAAAATATAGTAACTATTCAAAAGTAGAGATTTCAAGCTTTAAATTTTTTTAAAATTTAAACTTTGTTTATTTTTAACAAAATTGCAGCTGTTTGAATAATAAATCGAGTATGAACTTTTGCTAATCCAATGTATGCATACATTGTATATATAAATTAGAGAACTCTATAATATTACAAACAATTTCATTTATTTTTAAATGTTGCTTTGTATACTTACTTGAGATCCAGCAAATAATGCTATCCAAATATTGCCATTTGTATCTATAGTCATTCCAACGGGTAATCCTTTCAAATTAGTCTCACTAAGATCAAATACAATCTTCTTGTTAGCTAAAAAACATAAAAACTATAAGCATATGCAATCCTTAAATTCTCTTCTTTATTTTTAAGCAGTATTGTAATTTTCAGTTATATATGATTCTTACTCTTTCTTACTCTTGAACATTTTATTATAATATAATTTTATAGAAAATCTAATATCTTACATGTCCCATTATTCGGATTGTAATCATATGCTACAATCTGAGTAAGTATATCAATATAATACATGAGACTATGTTGCCTATTCCATGCCAATCCGTTACTTATTGTAACGGATGATATTTTCTTCTCGAATTTTAGGTCATCATTAATGCGATATAACGATCCTTGTTTAGGGATTACTGCCATTTTCATATCATTCATAGCAACTTTATTACTCATAGTACCTGTGGAAAATATTAATCGTGTAAGTGAATAGATCTCATTTCTATTTAATCGTAACAGTTTACCGATCCACAATCTTCCAGTTGGATCCACTTTCCCATCATAGGTTCTTGTTAAAACCTGAGAGTCAAACGAAAATAATACTTTGACTGGTTCGATTTATTGCTGTTTTCGTCCCATGTAACGAGAACATCTTTTCCCGCACTTGCTACAAATTGGTCAGTCGTGCCAGCTACTGGTATAACAACTCCAATATTTCTCTGTTCTGAAAGAGCATTGTGAAACTTACAAATGTGCTATAAATTCATTGGAACATAGGAAAGCTTATAAAGAAGAAATAATAAATATATTTGCCTACATATGCACTATTCACAACACCTGTTGGATCTAGACTATGTATATATTGATCGTAAAAATTAACAAAATACAACTTTTGAGTACAATTGTCCCAATGAAGACCCTTAGAAAAGCCATAAATATCTGTTATCTTCTCAATTGTCAAATTCATACATTTACGCGCCTGCCTACAAACAGATTATTATAATATTCATAGCCGACAGATATTCCTAATGGAACATTAAATATAAGTAGCAATGCTTATATGCGAACAGAAAGGTAAAAAAGGAAACAAGCAAAATTATTTGTATTCTTACATAGAAATAAAAATTCATAATGTTCTCAAACAAATTTATTATTAAACAAATTTATATATATATATGTACGTTACTGTGTTCGTTCATGAAAAGTTTCTGCAAGAATTTTTTTAAATATTTTACGAAATATAAGTATCGCAGAAATTTTTGTAAAAAATATTTATAATACAATAAGAATGCATTATTCAATAATGATTATTTTTGACTATTGATAAATTTCGAAATATTGTATGATTCAGTCCATCTTTTATGATTAAAGTTAAACATCGTTTTAATTATGTGTTTCCAAATGGATTATAAGTACATATTTTTAATTTTAATTTTTTTGTAGAAATATTTTTATTCCTGTTAGACCAATATCTCGTTTAAAATAATTTAAAATAATTTAAATACTCGATATATTTCGTCATCAGCATTCTTAAAATGTTGCGTACCTCACATGTAACATAAATATACTGCAACACTATTTATTTTTACTATTGATAAAAATACTATTAATAAAAAAACCAAGCTTTACTATTTCTCATTATCTCGACAGAAGGAAATATTACTTAATACATGGATTAGAAAATTATGATTTCGTTTTTTTAACATAGGTGCGTGACACCTCGTCAATTTGTGAGTGTCTGTGAATATCTTTCACTTACCCGCCATGGATGAAGATGAAAATATACACTAAAGATACAAATTTACAAATTGCTCTTTTCATGACGTGTACAATACTAATATTGTCGTAAAGAAAATTGGAAAGAAATGAAATTTTTTAATTAGGGAATATATATGTATAAATATATGTATAAATATTCCAAGAAATAAATTTACAGGAGTAGATAATAAAATTCATTAAGTATGTTATTCTAATATTATTAATCATAATATTATTTATGAAATTTAGATAGAATAAAAAAAACATTACATTAATTATAATGTATAATTTCTATTATGCAAGTATGTAATTTATATTATACATGTACTTAATAATTATAATATTAAAAGTACAATTTAATTAATGTTATGCTCACAGATAAATAGAATGACATTATTTTTTTATTAATTCTACTAAGGCATTTCTGCCTTTCTGCCTAAGGAAACGTTATTTTTTTATCGTATGTATTTTATAATAATTACATTTTTTTATATGTACTGTACACAGATTTAATATAATTAGTTTCAGTAAACTTAAGCGTTTTCTAAAACAATTTGTACGTGTGCATGTGTTAAACTTTACATGCTTAAGTTTACTGAAATTTGCTATTAAAAAGATCACTCCGAATTAAAAATTACTAGCTCTTATTAACACAACTTTGTTTCACCATTTGTCAATAGTGTTTTCCCACAAGTTTATATGTAAACTTAAAAGTAGAATTTCAAGACGATAAGATAATAATAGTCCCTTCTAATAATGCAATTATACCAAAGTATTCGTTACGCAATTTCTTATTGCACACGTAGTATGCTCGGAAAAAAATGTGTGGTTTAAATCGATTTTATTTTTTCCTCCCTAATTATATAGATTCTTAATGATAATGAACAGTTTATACGAGAAAATTCGTGTAAATATATTAAATTAATTTAATAATTTATTTAAATTAATTTAGGTCTTAATTTAGGTAATTTTTTATTTGTACATACAGTTATTGCTCAATACTTTAAATTAGTACAGTCAACGTGAGAGATCATTGTATTCGCTTATTAATATATTGTATATTGAGGCGTGCGATGACATATTTCAAACTGTTGTATGTTCAGTAAGCTCAGGAGGTTCTTCAGATGCTTTGAAACGTTCTTTGATTGGCCAATTAAATAATAATAATAAAAATATTTCTTCTGATTAATTAATCAAATGCTTCAGAACATTTGTAGCGAGACTTTGACCGCACTCTCTGTTATTATAGGATTTTTAGTATTTCTTCGCAATGATTGCAACAATTTTAAATTTTTGAAGGACGGCGCGGACGCTTTGTATTGTTCGAGACTCGGAGCTAATAAGACTGATTCAACGTTTTTCTATCTTGTATATAGGCAAACATTTCAAGTTTTCCAATTTATAACGGTGGATTAAGAATGTATCGTGAAACAATATCGTGACAATATCGTGAAATTGTTATTGTGATTACGGTTGTTAAGCCAATTCTCTCTCTCTTTCACTTACAAGACACCGATTTTCTATCAACAAATCTATATAAAATGTATATAGCGTGTGTGATATATAATGAGTTACTGGAACCATTCGATGATATTTTCCCCGTGTGGACATGTATACCACGAAATGTGTTTGTACAGTGGTTCGAGGAGTAATTTGGATAGTGCGCCAAAAATTTTTGCATGCTCTTGTAGTTCTTCTTTTGCCTATTATTCAAAGAAACTTTCATATAATTCCTGAAAGGTTTTATATTATTTACACATTGAAAGTGTTTAACTTCATCTATAGAATTGTTTCAGATCAAAGACCTATCCACAATGTCGAGCAAGGACAACTAATCAGATAATACACAAACTTCTGCAGTTCAATTTCTCAAAAAATCAAAAAATGATAATGTGATTACGGAGATTGATGATGACTCTGCTTTTCAATCTTATAAGAGATCTGTTTTCTTTTTCTTTTTCTTTTTTTTTTTTCAAAAAATGTTTCAACTAGTATACTGGTGCAATAAGTTGAAATAAAAGGAATAATTTATTTCATTCTAACTTATTGCATTAGTGAAATCAGTCTAGAACATTGATAATATTGGATAATATGGATAATATTGTTCAAAAAGTCATTGCGTTTTTTTCATTTGATTTTCAGGTGTGTTTATTTAATATATGTAATGAACATTAATCAATGATATATTGGCCGTTTTGTTCGATGATCTTCTGCCATCTCCCGGGCAACTTCATACAATAATATCACGTTCATAAAATTTCCCATCCTTCTCTGCGAGAAACTTGTCTAGGTGTTGTTTGATGAGGTCTTCAGAAGCAAACGTTTTACTATTCAAGGAGTTTTGCAAGAAGCGAAAGAGATGGAAGTCTGATGATACAAGGGTCTGGGCTATACGATGGATATGGTAACACATTCCAACCAATAATTGCAACAGTTTTTGCCGAATGACCAAACTTGTATGTGATCTCGCATTGTCGTGGTGAAATACTACACCCTTACGATTGATTAGCTCGGGACATTTCTGTGCGATGGCATCACTTAATTTCTGCAGCTGCTCACAGTAGACATCGGAATTAATCGTTTTGTTCTTTGGAAGTAGCATAGAAGACTCCCTTCCAATCCCACCACATTGACAGCATTACCTTCTTTTGGTGGATCTCCGCCTTTGCTTGCTTTTCCGATGCTTCATCTCGCCTACTCCAACTTCTTTTTCGGCTGATATTATTGTAAACAATCCATTTTTCGCCGCCCATGATCATACGCTTCAAAAATGGATCGTTTTCTTCGCGTTTGATGAATTGATCGCAGACGCTCATATTCGTCTGATGAATTTCTTTCAACTCATGCGGTACCCAAACATCGAGCTTCTTTACAAAGCCTAGCGATTTCAAATGGTCATGAACACTTCCAACGGACACTTTTAGAGCGGTAGCAAGCTCCCGAATTGTTGAATGCTTATTTGCTTGCACCAATGCTTTCATTTCATCAATCTTGGAAGGCTTACCGGAGCGATGAACGTCTTTGACTGAAAAATCATCATCACGGAATCGGGCGAATCAGTTCTGGCACTGGCGTTTTTGAAGACATTTCTGCCGTAAACTCGACGCAACTTTTTCCTTGCTTCAATTGCTTTCTTCTCTTTTTTGAAGTAATAAAACAGAATGTGACGAATATGCTCTTCAAAATTCTCCATGTTCGAACCACAATTGCAAGCACAAAATTTGACCGAATCGCGTCAACTTTTTTTTTGGTTTTTAGGTTGAGTGTCAACAACAAAACGCGCGTAAACATTTGACATTCACGCTCGCATACAAATAAACGTGGACCATCTATTGGAAAAAACGCAATAACTTTTTGAACAATAATACTTTTAAGACTTTCACGGATGTAAGGCTTGCACAATTTAGAACAGTCTTTAAAAAGATTGCAGACTTAAAGCTGAAAGCTTACCGACAATTTTGATAATCTTACAGATATCTACGAAATAATGATGAAAACATTAGATGATTTAATACAGGAAATTTTAAAGATTGAAAGTGAAATATATGTCAGCTGGCATGAAGGATTCTTGCAAACAATTGCATTCAACTCTGCATAATTGTGAGGAAAAAATTGCAGCTTTGAAAACAATACTATAACATATAAGAAGGCAGCAAATATATTTATTATAATATTTGTTTTAGAGAAATATACGTGCAATTGTTCATATTTAACTCTGTAATTAAATT